TTTAACAAGAAGTCGAAAACATCACTTTTTACCAAAAATTACAAAAATATTCACCAAAATTAGTGAATTAAAGATATCATTACAAAATGAACAAATCTGAGAGAGGTCCACATGTACATGTAGTACCTATATATGTAATATCAAAGCATTTGCACTTGCGGTTTTTAACAAGAAGTCGAAAATATCAGTTTTTACCAAAAATGACAAAAATATTCACCAAAATTAGAGAATTAAAGATATCATTACAAAATGAACAAATCTGAGAGAGGTCCACATGTAGTACCTATATATGTAGTATCAAAGCAATTGGACTTGCGGTTTTTAACAAGAAGTCGAAAATATCAGTTTTTACCAAAAATGACAAAAATATTCACCAAAATTAAAGAATTAAAGATATCAACATGAAATGGACAAACCTAAGAGAGGTCTACCCAAGGTACATATACACCAAGTATCAAAGCATTTAGGCTTGTAGTTTTCAAGAAGAAGTCGAAAAAGTAAAACATTGACACGGACAACGACGACGGACAATCACTCATATGATAAGCTCCGCTCGACAAAGTCGACAGCGGAGCTAATTAAAATGTAAAATAAAACAATGAATTGCAGCAGCAAATCATTAGTAACATTCTTACCAAGTTATATAAAAATCGTTTTAATGCTTCTTGAGATATAACTGAAATATAGCTTATAATTCACCCATTATTATGCAGATGAGCTCATTAATATGCATGGATGTCAACCAAAAACTAATCAAATCTACGCATTGCTCCAGACAAGCTATATACCAAGTTTCATTGAAATCCGAACATTGGTTCTTAAGATATCGATGGGACACACACACACACACACAGACACACACACATAGACAGACAGACAGACAGACAGACAGACAGACAGACAGACAGACAGACAGACAGACAGACAGACAGACAGACAGACAGACAGACAGACTAACTGCAAAGACTCCCTTTTTGTGCTTCGCACACGGGAGTCAAAAATAAAATGACGTGCATCAGGAACCCGTAATGTCTAATGGACAGTCAGCTGGCGCACACGTGATAATAAAATAAATACGATATTTACTACATGGGGGCCGCCATCTTGAATGACGCATAAAACTAATCGTCAAACCAATATATCTGTTTATCTATGACATCATGTATAATGAATATTTAAAATTTGAATATAATCAGTCAAAACAAGTCGAAGATATGGGTCTACAAGCCCATTCATTAAAACAAAATGGCCGCCAGACAGCCATTTTGAATTCGATCTGAAAAATAAATGATGTGCATCAGGAACCTGTAATGTCTAATATATGTACCAAGGTTGAAAGAAATCCATCCATAAATGCCAGAAAAGCTTGATATTTGATGATTTTTTAGCACAAAGATGGCCACCATTTGGCCATTTTGAATAGGATCGTCAAACCTATATATGTGTCTATCTATGACATGATGTATAATGAATATTCAGTGAAAGCAAGTCAGAGATATGGCACAGGAACCACATTCTTTAATACAAAATGGTCGCCAGTCGGCCATTATAATGTCATATAATATCTAATGTATATACCAAATTTTGAACAAAATCCATCTGTAAACAGCCAAGAAATGCTTGATTTTGATGATTTTTAGCTCGAAAATGGCCACCATTCGGCCATCTTGAATCAAACAAATTGACGTGCATATGTATAATATCATGTATAATGTATGTGTGAAGTTTGATTGTGATTGGTCCAGGTATTTCTAAGATACAGGTCCGGACGCACGCACGCACACACAGAGGTCAAAACATAAGTCCCCGTTTTCGGACTGCTTTCGAACGGGGACTAAAAATCAATTTTTGCATTTTTGAAAGGTAAACAGAGTGTGGAAGAAGCACAATGGTATCAAATGACCAGATTACATGACATGACTGTCAAATCTTCAGAAGGAATGGTGCAATGGTCAAACATGGTTTCTATGTAGGTTTAGTATACCGGTAACAGTCATTTCCGAGAGTCCAAACAATTCTGAATGGAGATAACCGTTGTTTGTGCAAACTCTCCAATCTATTTTTTTCCCAACTATACATGCAGTGCATTACCCTTTAGGTACACTAGTAACAGATTTCACTAGCAAAGATTTACCACAAGTTGACAAAAAAGCTGTTAAGCAACTTTTATTGTGCCCATATTTAATCATTTACATGTACGATGATGTACAGATATAATCAAACCCTTCGTTTGATAGCATTAAATTGTATGCAAGTACTGATGGTACCAACAGAAACCACATTCTATATATGGGACTACATTACAGGACTGTCAATCAGGCAATCGACCTGGTAATGCTATATTGGTAGGTTTCTGCGCCTTTTTAACGGGGTATCGATCGCCATTGAAATATTTTTGGAGTAATTTTAGTGTATTTGGTGTCCAGACACATTGTCAGCGGGTGTTGCTGGAAAGTTTTCACTGAGAAAAATATATTTGAGAAACATTTCATGTTATACGGCAGCACAGAAGTGCACGGCTCAAAAAATATATTTATGACTTGAATAGGCAATTTGGTAATTCCCCCATGTCAATATCATTAGGATACTTCAACAACTTACTTTGCTCATTTAATTGCACAGTCGTTTTAGGTATGTTGATGTTGGCTCTCTGCAACATCTCCAGAAAGGCCTGTTGCTTCACTTTATCATTGGGTGGAGTGATAGGTAAGAAAAGAGAACCTTCCGGCGTAGGAGATGGAATGAGAGGACTGCGTCTACCACTCAATTCTGAAAAGTAAGCACACATGATACAATTATATCTACATCTGATGACAGTTAATTAGAATTCTAAGAAATAAAACAATACTACAAAATTTTTTTTTTTTCAGTGAGAGATTACAGCGAACTGCTTTAATTTCTCCTAAAAAATAAGTTATCAGTCAATAAAAATTATGAAATTTAATAGTATTGAAATTTTTCTCTGGGGTCCTAAATTTAAATTGTAAAGATTTCTAGCAGTGACAAGATTTAATTTAGACATTTGTTTTCTTTACATAGTAATACACTTGATTGTCCAACGAGGCTAGTAGAATTGGAGATTGTTACCCAGAAAACTTTTAATTTGAATAATTTAACTTTTAAAGTATGAATTTATTACTTTTGTTTACTTGCACGTTTATTTCTATTTCTAGTGAATTTTAACTGAGGTGTTACGGTACACCCACATATACAATTACCGTTAAAGTCCTATTATAAACCACGGTTTATATTACAATGTATCAATTTAAAAATTGGGATCAAAAGCTCAAGTTCGGGGTGCGGTTTCTATTATGCACATATTGCAATCACTAAATGGGCGTGGCCATTTTTTGTCCACAACACGTGCACAAAACAAACAATACACCGTACAATCTTTTGAATAGGCATCGGGGAAGAGTGAAAGGCCTTATTTTGGTTCTAAAATAGGCGTTACGAAATGTTGAAAAATTACAGTCAATCAAAAAAAATTCCACATGATACAAAAAATACTCAGTATTTTTAATGTAATATGCATTTATTTTTTTAATTTTCTTGGTAACGAAAAGTATATTCTAACAGAAGTTTCAAATAAAAACACGAATGCACTGCTTAGTAGCAAATGATCACATAACGGTAGCTCAATCCGGCCATGCTGCAGGTCACAAGTGAATGACTTACTTGTTTTCGAA